TCCTCCACCTAAGCACAAAACCATTCCCATGATGGATTTTGGAGGGGGGGGGGGGGTGCCCTTTTTTGTTTTGTTTAGGGTTCTGTTGGATTTTTACTGTAATATGTATGATGGCCAGGGAAGTTTGACTGCACCTTTCATGGCAGAAACGCCTCATTCAGCAGAGGGTCACATTTACTTTCTCAAATATTTTCATTACCTTTCCTTCAGAACCCTGGGTTCCCCCCTCCCCTCAGCGTGGCACACGGAATTAGATAACACAGGATCTTATAACAGTTTGGAAATTACAAAACAATTCTATTTACTACATACCAGACTGCTCGAAGAGATTAAAGAGAGTGTCTTTTCAGTTTCATTAACATATGTATATCTCAACAGACTTAGATGTAGAATAATAAATGCATTTTGAAGAACAGTAAATGCTTGTTAGAAAAAGAGCATTTTTAAGGTTTAAAACAGCAAAAGCAGAAACTTGTCTATAGCGACAATAAGGCTTAGAGAGGAAACAGCAAGAAGATTGAAATGAAAACAAACACCACACAGAAAACAAACAAAACTCTTTTCCCACTAAATCTTTTCCAGCCAGTGACTGAGAATTTGGGTTAGTATGGCTTCTAGAGCACTTCCCATAGATGGGAAAGCATAACAATAGTTACAGGTGGCTTCTAAGGGAGGTTGTCAAAAACTTGGGTCTTCAAAATTCCACAAAACACAGAATCGTCAGAGTAGAAAAAACGCCTCACGTTTCAGTTCCAGAATACACAGAAATCCATTTTACCTCCATTTTTATCACAGAAACATCAGGTTTTACACACTGTCAGTGCCACTCTCATTGTCTACTCCAACCTGTTAGTAAAGTCATCAGGGTGAGACTTAGAAACGACTGTCATTTAGGCACTCCTAGACTGTCTCATGGATTTGAGAGCTCACACCACCTGAACAGGAAAATAGTAAAGATGGATGGGAGAAAATTCCTATTGCTCTACATCAGCACTGACTTTAAAAGGAACACAACAAAACTGCAAGCAAAACAAGAAGTTCCATTTAATAAGCTTCTGCTCACTGTCTCCCCAACAGCTCGGGGTTAATTTTAACAGGTCTGTGCACAAGTCATTTCAGCATTAGGGATCACCTTCCTCATATTTGCTATAGGTGGACAAACACTCCTGAAGCTCTGACCTATTGACACAGCTTTGGTGACAGGGAAGAATCTACAGTGTATGCCTTTAAAATATACATGCAGGGAAAAAAAAGCTATGCAGAAGATGGTTATGGAGAGGAAGGGGCTGGGATGTGGCAATTACTGGGAGTTGGAAACAACTATTTACTCTTCCACTGAATAACTTAAAAAAATAATTCACCATGGCAACAATCATACTTCATAGTAGATAAAGCACTGAATGCTACAAAGCCTTTGCAAAATGAATTATGCACCAGTGTGTAGCATGCACTTTCTTTATGTTACTGCACACATATTCCAACAAAATGTCCTTTTAGACTCATCTGGCATTTGCTTTTTCACTGCACCAAATACCATCTACTTTTCTGACTTCTGTCCCACTCTGATCTCATGGATCTGGAATTGCTGAAGGACTTTATTGTGTTCCATTCAAGAGATTGATATAAAATAATTAATGCAATAATTATTTCCTTAAGTTGAATTGAATGTTATATTGAAGAAGAAGAATTATTTCCTCTTATTCATAATGGCTTCTTCCCCCAGCATTGCTCAAATTGCATCATATTCAGAGTAAATTCATATCACAGTTACAATTATGACGATTGGTAGTACATTGTCTTCTCTATTTAAAATCCAAAGATAAATTATCAGGCTTTGACAGGACAACAGAAGTTCAGCAGCATAAAGACACACATTCCTACATGCCATGTAGCTCAGCCAAAGCAGTGTGAGAACTGCAGTCCACAATACATCTGTGAGGTTCAATAAGTACTTTCACACCAAGATCAGCCCCTCACAAATCAGCAAGTAATTCAGCCATGGAGGCACAGGACAAGGGTGCAAGCAGAAAAGGACATCACCCCTGCCCCTGAGAGTTTCTGTTTGCTCTGAAGAGGATGCATCCAAGGACTGAGGCTGCACCAGCACCACTGACCCACACCCCACACCCCCTGCTCTGGGTCAGTCCCACCCGGAGCTCACCTTTACTCACAGGTGTGAGGGGTTGTTCCTTCACAAACCCTGGGAAAGAACCCGAATGGAATGTGTGGAACCACTAGGTGTCAGCAGAAGAAAGTGCACGGCCACAGCTCCGAGCCCAAAAGCTGAGCCTGGCTTCCCATCATCACCCACCGGCTCAGGACTGCAAACCCCTCACACACAGCCAGCTCTGGGAGGTGACCTACTGCGGGAATTCAGGGTTTAGACGATGACAAAAACAGCAAGAAAATGGGAATCTGGAAATTTAAGTCATACCCAGGAAGATCATCTGCCTCAATACAGCCCAGAAATCACCCCACTGCTGCCGTGCTTGGCTGTACTTAACAGCAACAGAGGTGTGTGGTGACTGTACTTACATCACACCCAACACAGGCTCTGCTGTACTCAGCATCCAGCTTAATGCAACTACAGAAAACACAGCAGGGAACAGCACTGAATTTTGTCAAGTAAATCTTATTATTAGACTTGCAAATTGTATTACCTAGATATGTTTTTCCACACAATTTCTAGTTAGCAAAGGCCTCAGAAAGTTGATGGCAACAGAAACTTCTCACCAGTGTTCTGGTGTTTATGTCCATTACACAACCTTCTACCTCTGGAATAAAAACCTCAGAACAGAACAAGAGTTCTTACTGTGCTCAAGTATAATAATGTGAATTTAAAGTCTGCTCTGTGACACATTCTGGACCTACACTGAATAATGAAAAATCAATTCACACCATTTATCCCAAAAAGTCAGCTCACACCAGTGAGATGGCCTATGAAATTAAACTGTCTTATGAAAGGAGGAAAAGCTGCTGCTTCTTTGAATTTATTTCCTAATTATCAGTGATATTAAATGAACAGTCAGATTCCTTGAGTGAAACACTTGCAAATTTTCTTTATCTAAATCTAATACCAGAAGGTATAATCAGAAGCTAAATTTTTTGACTTACAAAAGGACTTAGGAAAGAAATCCCTGAAAATTTCCACTTCCAGATTACTAAATTGTGTTTTATGACATATTTGTGCAGCTATGTTTACAGGTTTTCTTGGATAGAATGATAAGCAAACCAAACCATTTCTTCTACTTCCTCAGGTTAGCTGTCCCTCCAAGTTGCACTTTCTAGGGGTGTGCTACCGACAACTCACTTCAAACGTTCATCTTTAACATTCAGCCTTCAAAATACCAGATGGCATTTCCAGAACAGCAATTTAAATTTTTTATTTTCCTTCATAAATCCCTTAACTAGTTAATCTCACACACACACACACATCCAGGCAAAGCATACACCAATATTCCCAGAGTTGCCTGGCAACTGCAGGGAGGAGCAGGGGAGCACAAGGAAGCCTGCACGGACCGAGGGAGCCGCTGTCTCCC